GGGTATTTCTCTTCCCCAAGTGGAAGATTAAAGCTGACTGGAGTTGGGTATTTCCCTTCCCCAGCTGAATTAGGCTCTGATAATACCCCAGCAGGTTAGGCTCTGCTTAATTAGTTTCTCCTGAGGGCAGGCTTTGTTAGGGATAGACTGTTCTGCAATATTTCAAAATGGTTCTTTTTCCCCTCCTCCTACGGGAAGCATAAGGACATTATTCTCTGATATTTATTGTGAGAACCTGGTCAAACTCACAAAATGATTGAGGCTGCCTGATGACTGGGTTATCCTGAAGTTTTTAACTCTAACTTGTCCACACTCAGCCTCCAGCGATCCAGCAATTACAGTTCAGAGTTTCCTACCCTGGTACTGGTTCCTGTGGCAGTCTCTGCTTGTGAGCCCCTGCTCCAGTAAGCCACGACTCCCTGTATTTATTTGCCTGTCTCTGCAATCTTGGGGGCAGTGGTTTGCCCTGTGTCCTCAACTCTCTTATGGATCCAAGAAGAGTTGTTGATTTTTAAGTCTGTTTAGGCTTTTACTTGTCATTAGGATGAAGGGGCAACTTCCAAGCTCCTTCTATGTGGAACTGCAAACTGGAACCAGTGTGTTTTTTTTAAAAAATTGTGTGTACTTAAGGTATACAACATTACATTTTGATATACATATGCATAGTGAAATGATTACTACAGTCAAGCAAATGAACATACACATCATCTCACATAGTTAACTTTTTGTATGTATGTTCAGATCTATGTGCAGTCCCAATAATTTTGGATTGTATGCCAAACATTGTGGATTTTACCTTTTAGGTACTCCATATTTTTCTATTTCTTAAAATATTCTTGCTCTTTCTTCTTGGAAAAATGTAATCTTTCTGAGGCTTATTTTTAAGCTTGGTTAGGTAGGACCAGAGCAGTTTTAATCTAGGATTAATTTTGCCCCACTACTGGGGTGATCCTCCTGTGAACAATTTAATGCCCCATGATTTATAATTTTTTTTCCATTGTGGCTGGTAAAACCATGAATGTTGGCAGTCCTGTGCAAGCTCTAGGTGTTTTTCTGCTTGCTCCTTTCAAGTGGTTATTTCCGGGACTGTGGGTAGTTTCCTTGTCTGCATGTTCTCATCCATACTCACCTGAAGGCCTGTTAGAAAGCCTCTGTAGATCTTTGAGCTCTCTTTGTGTAGTTCTCTTTACTCCACGTAGCTCTCTCCTCTCCAATACTTCGCCTGACCAACATAGCAAACTTGACTCTTAACTATGTCTCTGCAACTGAGGCTTTGTTAGGTTTCCCCTCCCTGTACTGCAGCTTGGAAAATCTCTCCAGGCAGTTAGCTGGGCCAACTGTAGGCTTTGCCTTGCTAATGTTCTTCTCTCAGAGGTCACAGTCTTGATCTTTCTATTTCCCAATGATATAAAATTGTTGGGTAATAGGTATATTTTGACCAGTTTTTTAGTTATTTGAGGTGGGAGGGTAAATCCAAAGCTTTTGAATATTGTTATAAATATTGACATGTAAAAATTAGTTACAAATATACTCAATGGAGTATGAATGCATGACAATTTGTTAATTGCAATAATTCATTTAGTAAATATGCAAAGAAGCTCTTCGTTAGCAATTGGAAAGATTGCGTCATTTTTTCCTCTTTAAATCTTTACTTTTTCTTACACCCTCCCCACAAAATTTGATCTTAATATAATATGCTTTTGTGTTTGAAAGTTTATTATTAATCATTCTATCATATTTCTCTGTAATAAAACATAAATATATATATCGTAATTTATTATTGTGAAGTAGCTTTGAACACAAGGCTCTAAATGCTTAAAAGCATTCAAGATTGAGCCTTCATTGCAGTTCTTTGGAACAAAATTGATCGAAACCACATAAGTATATTACTAAACATTAAAAATAATTATTAACAAAAATAACTTTTTTACTATTATACATTCATTTAGTAAATAGATGGTGCTTTCTTTCTATTAATATTAGTTTATGTATACATGGAGGAATATTATTTCTTACCAAAATGAAGTAAATGTCAGCACCAATTTTCTTTCCATTTCTCATTTTTTAAAACGTAAGCACTGAGAAATATTATTCATTTAAATAAGATTACGGAAAAGGTAAAAGATTAGGCCCATAGATGACAGATAGATCGCATAGTTCTTTTAACTCTTTCCAAGTTATATGCTGAAAATCCCACAGTAAGCTATTATGAAAGTTTATTTTCAAAGATCTATCAACCATCAACTTGATGTACATTCCCATCATTGCCTTTGTAAACAAAAAAATTGAAAATCACTTTGATTTTCAAAGGATTTTTTTTACATAGTCTTTTTTTGGAGACAGGGTCTCACTTTGTTGCCCAGGCCTGGAGGCAGTGACATCATCATAGCTCACTGCAACCTCAAACTCCTGGGCTCAAGTGATCCTCCTGCCTCAGCTGTAGTTGGGACTCCAGGCTATTTTTTTTCTATTTTTTGTAGAGGTGGGGTCTCACTATGTTGTTCAGGCTGGCCTCAAACGCCTGACCTCAAGCAATGCTCCTGCCTCGGCCTCTGAAAGTGCTAGGATTACAGACATGAGCCACTGTGCCCAGCCTGATTTTCAAAGGATTTTTTTATGCAAGGTCTATGATTACTCACTTTCCGAACACCAGCACCAATATTTCAATTGCCCACTGGTTTGGCACCTGGAGGTTTATTGCCTCCATGGTGTCAGATAAAGGATAAGTGAGGCCGGGTGCTGTGGCTCACGCCTGTAATCCTAGCTCTCTGGGAGGCCGAGGCGGGCGGATTGTTGGAGCTCAGGAGTTCGAAACCAGCCTGAGCAAGAGCGAGACCCGTCTCTACTAAAAATAGAAAGAAATTAATTGGACAACTAAAAATATGTAGAAAAAACTAGCCGGGCATGGTGGTGCATGCCTGTAGTCCCAGCTACTCGGGAGGCTGAGGCAGGAGGATCGCTTGAGCCCAGGAGTTTCAGGTTGCTGTGAGCTAAGATGAAGCCACGGCACTCTAGCTCAGGCAACACAGTGAGACTCTGTCTCAAAAAAAAAAAAAAAAAGGATAAGTGAGAGGTAAGTTTTCTTTTCAGAGTGAGAGAAGGAAAATTGTGAAATTGAAGGTAGTGAAAAAGAGCCTGTTAAAGAATGCTCCAAAGCTTCATAAGAAATTTGAAAGCCTAGAGTCTAAAAATTTATTCCTCTAAACTATCAATGTGCATAGCTTGAAAAGGTTTGTTTGTAACCAATATCACAGTTCTAAGACTACTGCTTTATATTGTTTAACCTTCTAATGTATTAAGATAATTGTATGAACAATTTGTTCTCAAATTTTATTTTTATTGAGCATCTACCATGCAAGACACTGGTCTAGCAGCTTGGATTACAGACATGAACAAGATCAATAAGGACTATCTGTACATTATAGTGGGGCTGATAGGCCATAAATAAGTAAATAATTCAGAAATAGAGCAAATAAATGCTCAAAATAGTTTCAAAGAGTTTAAGTGATAGGAAGAAAATAATACCAAGTAGAATGGAGAGTGCTCTGCATTGTCAAGGAATATCTTTCAGCAGATGACATTTGAGGCAAGGATATGGTACAAGAGCACTCTAGACTAAGGCAGGCTGATGATTTAGGGAGGTCTTTGTGGTTAAAGAATACCTCTGTGGAGAGTTAACATATGACTTGTGTGATGGGGTGTAGCCAAGAAAAGATTGGAAAAGAACTTTCTAGATAGACGTACACCGAAGAGAGAGGGTGATCAAATTGTCCCAGTTTGCTCTGGACTTTCTTGATTTTAGCTCTCTAATTCCCATGCCCTGAGCAGCTCCTCTGTCCCAGAAAAACCAGGATGTTGGTCATTGTAACTGGATGTCTAAGACGTAGTAGACTATGAGGTCTACTGAAAGGTCAGTGGTCTGAAGGTCAATATCCAAACTACATCCATGGTCAACGGCAGCTTGGTGTAGACCACATAAAAAGAATTTGAAGAACAAACCTTGATTCCGAGATGTCCAGGCATCTGTTACTGTAGCTCTCAGTAGCACCCCAGCTTTAGCCCAATTCATTAACAGCTAATCAATCTTATAGTTAATAACTGCTTCTCTTTAGTGTCAAGAGAGGAAACTCACTGACCCACCTGTCGCTATACAAATAGCACTCACATGCATACAGACACACAAAGCCTAGATACGCCACACACAACTAGCATTCGCGGACAAAACAGACACCTAAAGAGACAGGCTATGAGGCCACCATGGTTAGTAGTTGCACTTTTAAGTGGAAAGAACATTGGAAAGATAAGTAGAATTTGAGACTCAGCTTTTAATTTAACATGACGTGCTCTCCATGCAAGTCCCACTTCTGCCTCTGTCTAGTTAGATCAGTGCTTGTGCTGGATGAAAGAGCTAGTTTCTAACTCTAAGTGGGTTAGTTACCAGCTAGACCCTTATATAAAATTTGACATTAGGATACAGAAAGAAATTTAAGGCTGGAACTTACAATAAAAGCCGGAGGGTGGGGAAGAGACTATTTGCTGACACTTTCTTCCTACCTCCTTTTTTATATGTTCTTCTGTATATGATAATAGTGAGCCAAATGTTACTGAAGTCAAAATTCTTATCTCAGTCCTAATAGGCAGCTCCAAACAGTGGTCTTCATTTTTTTTTTTTTTTTGGCATGGAAAAATACATAGACGCACAAATGTTCACTTGAGACCAAAATTAGCTCATATATTTTTAATACATTGGAGGAAGACAGATAAAAAATTTAAGCCCAATTAAGAGAATCCCTGTATCTTCTATACACTTCTCTCTACACATCTCTGATTGTAAGGTAATTGTCTTGGCTCTGGTCATGGCAGTAGCGATTATGTCCATCTCCATGGTCGTCTAATCTCTCATAGAATTGTCCTGGTGAAATTAGATCTGTAGAATTAGCTCCTTGGATATTATTTCCAGCAGTACTTCTTGTTGTCCCATACCCAGAAGTAAATGTTAATTAAATGTCAGACAAAGGCCACTCAGGAGGTAGCACGGGAGGGGAATATGTTTTCTGGCTTGTGGTGGCTTCTGGAGTTTCGAGTGTGTTAAACGTTACTAGATCATTCAACCCAGATACTGCAGCACCAGTATAAGATTCCAAATCACTGTTATCCATTCGTATATCCTCTAGGTGGATCGGCGGAGGTGGTGGCGGTCGAGGGTATTCAAATGATAGTTTTAGGGAAATGCAGCATGATAGCTTGTTCTGACAAAGAAGTATGTACCTTTCAGTATCTAAACATCGTGCCCTGCAGTATCCTAAATTATTCTTCCAGCACTTTTGGGGTCCGAAGTTAGCTGCAGGGAATAAAAAGTAGGTCACATGTTTAACTCTAGCATCAACAAAACAACTTTCTTTCACTGAAAAATGTACAACTACTACCACCACCATTGAGACAAATACTAAAAGCCATTGAAAGAGACAAACCAGAAAATAAAAAGTGTATATTAAAATTGTGACATGTGCCATCAAAGAAATTGGGTGGAAAGAAGGGGGAGGGGGAAGAGAGAGGGCTGATATTTAAGCCTAAATAAGAAGGATAATAATGAGCCAACAAGTTACATAGAAGGCAAAGATTGTTTCCGGAAAGAAGCAGCAAATACTCAGTCTCGGTGTCGAGGAAACTGTTTAGTGCATTTGAGAGACTTGAGGTAATCTGACAAACCTAAAGTGTAATGTGCAAAGAGCAAAAAGTCACACGATGAAATGGGCTTGAAGTAGCAGGACCATATTTCCCAGTCCCTTTAGGTACTAAGTGCTTTTGTTTTCTTTAAAACATAATGTGAGTTTATTGACTTACCTATGTTTTAGAGTAGTTAGGATTCCAAGGGAGGATTAGAGTAGGGAGAGAAAAAGAGGTCAAGAGAAGTCTTTTTCCAGGTAAGTCATAATGGTGGCTGGAACTGGGGCTGTGATAATTACTGTAGACAGAATAGGACAGATTTAAGACGTCAGCTATTTGGATATAAGGTCAGAGGAAAATGGAGAAATCAAAGTGAAGTTTCTAGATTTCTAAATTGAAGTAGAGGGGCTTAGAGATACTTGACATTCACAGAATGGTAAAAACTGAGGAAAGGGCAAGATTTGAGGGAAGAGGAGGGCTCTTCAGGTGGGCTCAGGTATTTATTTGGGGACATATAACATATGGTATTCCTAAGATGTTAAGAAGGCAGTTGGAGAGACCCGTGGCATCTCAGAAGAGAGGTTTTGACTCTAGATGTAAATTTTGGAATCAAAGATACAGAAATGAATAAGCAATAGGGGGTTGGGATGATATGACAAAAAAGAGGGCCAGAATTAAATTCTGGTGAGTTTCAGTATTAAAAGATCAGAGAGGAGGAAAAGACTTTATAAAAACAACCAGATGAGTCAGAGCAAAATAGGAGAATGGGACACTAATCTGAGTTTAGGCACACCAAAAAGCAGATCCCCAGTGAAGATTTGAGCATAATAGTTTAATTGAAAGGCAGTTTACCCCTCAAAAAGTCGGTGGGGAAATGGGGAAGTCAAGAAAGCAAGAAATCTAAGAAAAGGTGAGTTATCACCAGCTATAATCAGCTCACTCTGGAATCATCTATTAACTGTGGGCTGGCAGGATGGTTGCTCTGCAGTTGCCCAGAGCACATTCCCACAGGCAACTCTACCAGCTAGGCTATCAAATAAGCTTCAGACAACATGGTTGAGCTTGGAGGACATTATGTTAGTGAAATAAGTCAGGTGTACAAAGACAGATACTGCATGTTCTCACTCATGTGGGAGTTTTCAAAAGTTGAGCTTATTAGAAGTAGAAAGTGGAATAGTGGTTACTAGAGGGTGGGAAGGGCGGGGAGAGGGATAGGGAGAGGTTGGTTAACAGATACAAAATTACAGCTAGATAGGAGGAATCAGTTCCAGTGTTCTATAGCACTGTAAGATAACTCTAGTTAACAATCATTTACTGTTTATTTTCAAATGGCCAAAAGAAAAGATTTTGAATGTCCCCAACACAAAGAAATGACAAATGTTTGAAGTGATGGATATGCTAATTACCCTGACATGATCATTATACATTGTATACAAGTATCAAAATATAACTCTGCATCCCCTAAATATGAGCAATTATTACATGTCAACTAAAAATAAAAGAAAAATACCATTTATTTTCTACTGCAAAAAAGCTTGACTTAAAAATATATAAATTTTAATATTTAATTGGGCATCAGGCCCTTAGGGTGCAGCGTTACAGTAAAAATCTTGAAGAACTAAAATATGTTCGTGTTTTCTCCCCACAATGGCCTTGAATTGCAAATAAAGAATTACCACAAGAAAAAACAAAAACCCAAGAAGCCCCAGAGTTATTCTACATAAGAGTCAAAGGAACTGCAATATTTATCCACCACCCTGGATAAATATTTCACAAGCACTCAAAGAGATACTGGCGATACTGACAGGTGCAGGTCATGGTGTGCGTGAAAATGGCCAATGCCAAAAGGTTATAGGGAAAGTTGTATCAGCTATGACTGGGTTAAGCATGAGAGGAGAATGTTCCTTAAAGGAAGGAGTGGTCATTTCCGGTCAAATACCACTGAGAGGTTGAAAAAAATGAAGGCAGAAAAATGTCCATTGTATTTATCAGTATGGAGGTCCCTGGTCACCATGAGAAGAGCAGTTTCAGAGTGGCATGAAGAAAAAGTTGGTTGAAATGTGAAGAAGTAGATGTAGCAAAAATCTTAGACAAAAATCTTAGAAAGTTTACCCATAAAGAAAAGCAGATAAATAGAGAACTTATAGAGGGCAATATGGGGTCAAAGGAGGGTTTTGGGGTTTATTTTGAAGAAGCAGAAATATCAGAGTGTGTTTGCAAGCAATTAAAGAGAAACAAGCAAAAAGGGGGAGATCCATATAGAATAAGATGATGAGATGACAGAAGGGCATAGACCTTAGTAAGGTGACGGAGAACAAATTCTCACAGGGAAGACTGACGTTTGGAGAGAGAAGACACACTTCTCCAGTTATGACAAGAGCAATACAGGAGATGGGTAAAAAGTACCTATTTGAATTTTTTAATCGCTTAAGTGTGGGATAAAGTCATAAAGCTGAAGGGTAGTGCCAACATGTGGGGGAGAGGAGCAGGAGAATTGAAGACAAAGAAAGGTCAGTACAAAATAGTTGTCCAGGGCAAGGGGAAGGTTAGCTCAGAAGAGAAATGCGGTAGGATTTCTAAGCAATGTGATCATTCATTTGAGGGGTGAGGATGTGAATCTGACATAAAAGTAGCGTGCTCCATTACATGATCATTTAGCAAGGAGTAAACTACCTGATCATCTTTCTCAGGCCAACTGAGCAAGCAGCACCTAGTAAGTATATTCTAGACAGAGAAAGCAACCAGAGCAAAGGCTCTACGGTGGAAGAGGCCTGGCATATGTGCTGAAGAGCAAGTAATTCTCAAAACATCCTTGTTTGGGTTTAACGTGATAATGTACATAAAGCACTTTCACAGGCTGACATATATGAAGCTTGCAATAATTTGGTTCATATTTCCTCCCCTGGGAAATGTTGGCTCTAGTCCCACTTCTCCAATTATTTTTTTCTATCTTTGTCATTTTACGGGCTCCATGTTACTTTGCACTTCATTGGATTTTCTGTAGGTTGCGAATCTAGACCTTCCACTTCTTTCATCCAAGATAAACTCTAACCTTGCTTCTTCATTTCTACAAAGATTATCTCTTAATTTTTCCCTCTGGTACATCCATACTTGCAATCTGAGTCATCTCGGCTCTTCTCTTCCCTCCTCAAGCTCTTTGAATCACCTTGTTCTGTCAATTCTTCTTCAAAATTGTTTCTCACATGCATTGCTTCCTACTTCTTTTGAATCATTCCCCCCAGACTTAAAGTGAGGCTATAGCTGCACACTCATCAAAGTTTTGAGCCCTTGCTATGGTGCAGGCGTCATCCTCGGCCCTTGAGGTACGTCTGTGACCTAAACAGACACAGTCACACAGAGCTTATTTTCTAGCAGGGAGAGACAGACAATAAAAAAGAAGTACGTTATTTTGTATATGAGAAGGTGATAAATGGTTTGCAGAAAGAAAGGAGAATAGATTTAGGGGTAATTGAAGTATTTGGGGGGCAGATTGCAGTTTATTAAGCACAAGTTTGCACAGGTCTATGCAACAAGGTGACAATTAAACAACTTGGAGGAAGTAAACGAATTAGTCACACCGGTATCTGAGGCAAGTGCATTCTAAGCAGAGGAGACAAACAGAGCTCTATGGGTTGAGGAAGTCTGGCCTGTTTGAGGAGGAGCACTGGAGCCCGTGTCGCTGCAGTGGAGTGAACAAGGACTATGCTAGTACCAGAGGAGGTGAGAGAGGTCATAAGGGCCGGATCCTGTAGGGCCAGGTGGGTCACTGTGAGAACCCTGGTTATTGCTCTGAGGAAAGAGGGGGCCATTGCAAAGTTTTAACCAGAAAGTTCCATGATCTGACTTCCGGTGTAAGCAGATCATGCACTCTGCTGTCTTGCCAATAGACTTTAGGAGGCTAGAGTAGAAGATGGAGACCATGAGGAAGCCACAGCAGTGATACAAGTGGTAGATGATGGTGACTTGAATCAGAGTGGTAGCAATGGAGGTGGTGAGAGTAGTTGAATTCTGGATATAATTTGCAGGCAGATGTAATAGACTTCCTGATAAGTATGGGTGTCACAGAAATAGAAATATCAAAGATAATCCCAAGAATTTGGCTTAAGCAAGAGAATGATGGCACCTAGGAATATTCTATAACTTAATGTATTTTGTTCTAGAGTGACAAGTCATTTATACAAAGTTCTTTGGTCTGGAACTATTATGATATTAGAACATGTGATCTCCATCACCAATATCTCAAACTCCTAAAGTTAGGAAATATGAACAATTGTTTGTTTCCAGGCAGAGAAGCCATCTAGCCAAAATATTATCACATATGTGAATTCTCTCTAAAACATCACAGATATAGCAC